TATAAGTTTAATCCATAAAGTTTCTAGAACATGGAGGAAAAAATCTTTGTAACCTTGAATTATGCAAATATTTCATAGGAAGTACAAAAAAAGTATAAAAGAAAAGGTGAAAAAAGTAGAATTCAACAAAATTAGAACTTCTGTTCTTTAAAAGGCAGTTAAAAAATTAGAAGACAATATATAGACTGCAAGATAATTTTGCAAGCCATGTAGCATACTCAGAGTAAAGAATTCTTATTACTTAATAAGATAATTAATTAAAATGGGCAAAATATTTGAATGGACACTTCACAAAAGAACATTGTATGTAAAACTGCAAATAAGCATAAAAGATGCACAATATTACTAGTTAATTAGGAAAATACAAGTTAAAACTACTTCTAATATAATAACACTAAATGTTTTAATGAGTTGTAGCAAATGGAATTTATATATTGCTGATGGGAATGCAAAATGGCAGAACTGCTTTGGAAAAGAATGTGGAAACTTCTTAAAAAAGTTAAACATATGGCTACACAGGACTTAGAAATTGTACTTTTAAGTATTTTCCCAGAGAAATGAAGGTGTATGTCCATATGAAGGCTTGTATTCAGCAATAAAATGGAATGAACAAATGGTCACACAGCAACATGGACTGCTCTCAAAACATTATGCTGAGTAAGAGTACATATGTTGAAACTCTAGAAGTGAGAAACCTAATCTTTAGGGCTAGAAGCAGACCAGTGGTTGTCTGCAGTGAGTGTGCTTATGGGACCGAATGGGAACGGTGTACAAAACTGCCAGGTGATGGAAACAGTGTGTCCCTTGATTGTGGTGGTGGCGACATGCATATATGCATATGTCAAACTCAATGTAACTAAATACTTAAAATCAATTTTATTTTACAGGAAATTTTTATACACAAATTATACCATAATAGAAATGACTTACATAAAACATTGAGTATTTGCATTTTTTTCTCTCAAAATATTCCTTTTCTTTTGAAATTCTGAAATTAACTTGGTGGGGGTAAAATAGCTGTGTGATTCTAAGTAAGTTATTATTCTGAACAAAGTAAGTTCCTTCATCGGTAAAATGAGTGGCTTAGATTACATGACCTTGCTAGTTTATTTAATGAATCATTATTAAGTCTATTCTGGGGCAAGAACTAGGCTATGTCTTAGAGACATAAAGCTGAAAAAGAAACTACTCTTAGCCACATTCTAGTGGAAAAAAAAAAAAACTAACATGATTATGATACAACATATGTATATTAGGGTTTGAGGAAGCATCATTAGAGGAGCAGTCTTCCCTGATGATTAAACCTGAGCTGGGTTTTGAGGTACAGATTAAAGAGAGAACAGAAAGCATCCCAAGCAGAGGGAGAGGTATGGGCAAAGAGCCAAAGGCAAAAGATACACCTGTGCTAGGTACTTCAGGTAGCAGAGGTCTAGAAATTAATAACACCAACAATAAAGCCCTGTAGTTTGAGTCATGTGTAGATAGGATGCCACATCTAGTGCTACCTAGTTAGCATGGATTGCCCTCAGAGAAAATCCTAAGCACCATCACTTAGGACCCTTTCCTTGCAAAGAACATCCTTGGGGTCGTGTAATGAAATGGCTGGAGAAGGAAGCCAAAGGGCCGTGATTTGAGCATTGGCAAAGACAAAGTGCAACTTTTCACTCTCCCCATTCCCATGTTGCTGATGCTCAGACCCTGTCCTGTTGCTACTGTGCTTCCCCAAAATATTCTACCAGTCTTGTCAGCAATTCTCATTAGCTTTCATCTGCTATTGAGTGCACTGATCTTGCAGCAATGCTGTGGTCAGAGGGATGGTCTCTGGTGACTGGCCAGCCCAGAGATCTGAGGGGTGGGAGTCAGCCTCACCTGAATTACATGGGGAGGTGAGAGAACTGCAAAGAAAACTTAGACCTTCATGGAGGAAGAAAGACTAGACATGGAATCCCAACAACATTCAACCAGTCAAGGGACACAAACACACGTGGAGAAGTTTCTCTTGCATCTTTCATACACAGGATGAGTCAATGAAAACTGCCTTGAGAATACAGTGACAACAGAACATCCACACAAAAAAACCTTATCACTCAGTACTATAATCACTCTATGAATGAATGAATAGTTTTATGAGAACAAAGAGAAGGGACTAATTCTAATTTACAGGTTCTTGTGTGTCTTCGCAAAGGAGATCTTTTGAGTGGGATCTTGAAGAATGGAGAGAATCTTTTTGGTAAAGATGAAATAAATAGCTATGGTTGGTTGATGATTGGGATGCGAATCTGGTGAGGCTGAAGTACAGAACAGCAAATCAGCAGAAGCACAGAAATGGACACCAAGCTGTGAAGAATGGCTCCTGCCACACTACATGGCCTGCACTGTATCCTGTAAGCAATGAGGAATGGTGCATGTTTTAAGCATAAAAGTCACCCAATGAAATCTGCACTTAGAGAAGTAGTTTGACACTTCTTGAAACAAGAATGAAGAGATTAAGTATAGGGATGATGCTAAGTTACAAAGCTGAAGGCTGAGTGTGGGCAAGCCTCATGATCTCTATTTCTTCTGAAATACAGGAGAGCCCATGCTGAAGACAAGGCAGTGCTATGCACTTAAGATAAAACAGAATTTCAATCAGCTACACACTGTGCTACCAAAATATTCTAATCAAAAGGATTATCAGGGGAATTTCCAAATGCAAGGTACTAAGATATTACCTCAGTGAATGAATTGAAACCCTGAAGGACCAAACACACTGCCTGGCCTGCTATTTTATATCATACCAATGGCCTTAGGTAGAATAACTACGTGGGGCTCTGGCCACGTGGCGCCCTGTGACAGATCACTGGCAGAGCAGACACGAAGGGTGTCTGTGGTGAACTGGAGGCAGCAAGAGGAAGGAAGTCAAATGAGGCAGTGTGAGGAGGTGTGAAGGGAGGTGGAGGGGGTAAGGCAGGACACTTGGTTGTGGGATGAAGACCTAGGATTGTGCCTGGAGCCACTTGTACCACATGCAAGGATCTGCTCTCTCATGGTCCATTCATTTCTAAAACTGTCAGTTTACCAAAAAAAATATTAAGGCTAATGAGGTTAGACACTGTTCATATATTCTCTTCTACCACCTGATGTGAAAATTTCATAAAATTAATTGCCAACAGTATCTTCTATGTGCTTGGTACTTTTGAGTTTGAAATATCAGCTTTTTATATATTTTTTCATTTAATCTTACAAAGTCCTATAAGGTAAACAGAGCAAGTACAATAATTTCGTATTGTTGTCTCCCTCACTGTACCCTCAAATTACAGATAATGGAGACTTAATTAATTAGAAATTTACACCTCAGACCAGACTTCTCCAATCGGTACAAGAGACCACTATGTTGCCTCTTTTCAAAAAGCTTGCGAATATTCTTCTAAAGAGGTAAGACGTGGGCTCACCTGTACACACTGGCAATAATCATTTAAAACACATGCTCTTCCTAAGGTCTCTGCGATTTGCCACAGCCATGGGTGCACGTATGCCCGCTCCATGAGTGCACATCGCACACAGACAATGGCTAAAGTGACTGTGCACACCCTTCAGGAGAGATAAAATGGAGCTCATCAAGATTTAATCCAATTAATTCTTATTCAATCCTCAATGAGTCAAGTCATCAATTACCAGAAGAATAAGTTTGTAATGGATACCTTCAAATTTATAAAATATTCCAAATTTTGCCACACTTGAAGTCTTGTGCTAAGTTCATGCTTTCGCTAATATATACTGTCAAAACAGAAATATTCACAAAATACATTAGGATAAAACAATAAAATTCTAGTCAATCAATAAGGGTATTAATCTATTGATTTAAAGTCTTGGAGTGATCAGCATCTTAAATTTCAATCTAAAATTGAAAGACAATTATTTATTTATTTATTTATTTATTTTTTTTTTGGTGGAACTGGGGATTGAACTCAGGCCCTTGCGCTTGCCAGGCAAGTGCTTATTCCACTGAGCCATTTCCCCGGCCCCCGAAAGACAATTATTTTTGAATTTTCCTAATATACTATTATCCAGATCATTGAAATAGTAGCTCTTGCCAAAGAAATATGAAATGAGGTCCTTTATTTATAATAACAACCAAAAGAAGTCTGGATGCCTTGTTCTGTTTTAGCATCTTCTAGAGTGAATGTCTACTACCTACTCATGGTTTGTCTTAGCTTCTCTGCCCAAGTAGGAAATCTTATTAAACCAAACTTCAGAAAAACAGGTATGGTTTGATTCTTCATTGGCTTCATTCCCTAGGATGTCCTCCTTAAATTCTTCCAGAAAAACAGAATCTAGCACCATGCCTCAACAGTGGCCAGGCCTCTATGCCAGACATGGTAGGCTGACAAGTACAAAGTGGTCTCCCTGTAACTGCTTGTCTTTTAGAGAGCAAGGAATAAAGTATTATCAGATGGAGATAATTGCATTTGACCTTTCCCAGTGGAAACATCTAAGAGAGAATTAAGATAGAGTGGAATTTTGAAAATCCTTAGTGCATGAAAAGTTAATATGGGCCAGGGATCTAGCTCAGTGGCAATGCCTGCCTGGCAAGCATGAGGTCATGAGTTTGATTCCTGGTACCAAAAGAAAGTTACCAAAATATCAAAGTGCATTGAAATTTATACTGAAAAGCAGTGCATTTTTCAAGTCTTTTCATACCACACCTCACCTCTGCTTCTGAGTGAAGAGCAATTTATGATAAAAACAATAATCTAGGGATAAATTTATAAGCTGACATAAAAGAATTGTCCAAGAAGCTATATTAGCTCTTGAAGTTTATTACAGTATCTTTAGATCTTATTGCATATATTGTTACATGCCTCTTACAAGTCAGGAGATATATATATATATATATATATATATATATATATAATCTTCGTAGAAGTTATGTCTATTGCTTCTTTCTTGAAAGCAGCATGCAGTGCAATATTTGGTGTGCAGAGTTATTGTTTCAAAAAGTGAAAAACTACTTAGCTTTGACTGAGGAGGGAACATGATCTTTATTGGCTTATATGCAAAGTTTAATTTTGGTTTTATGCAGAGTTTGCATAGTTCATGATTAGTTTCTAATGAAAAACTAGAAGTTCTGTTAGTGACCTTGAAGAAGATCAGGTGACAGTAGCAAACAGAAAAATTTGAAGAAGAGGCATAACTTTCAAAGTCGAAAGATCAGCAAGAACTGCCTGAAACAAAAGAAAAACGAAAGAATTATTAATAGCAAGATCTATGAGAAGGGTACAACAGAAACACCATCATAACCTAAGCTTTGAATGTACACATGCTCTCTATTCTTCAGATGTCTCAAATCTTGAATGCTCCAACTTCATCTCTCATTCTCAAATCTCTTAATGTTGTTACATGCACAAAAACCAAAATGTGTAGTAGAAAATAACCGGGACCTTAGTCTTAAGCCTTCTTCAAATATACAAGGTAGCATGAGTTTATAAGAGGTCTAGCATTTCAACTTGCTTCTATAAATAAACGTAATTATGAATCCTAGACCTGTTACTCTAGTGTAAGGAGTAACTGACTGCGGGAAATCATTTTGAGATGGAACTAATATTTATTCAGTTGCAAGATACATAAACATCCTCTTCCCTTTAAACAAGGCCTGTAGGCAGCTATTTTTAGGATAGGATTTACATTTATATGAGAGATAACAAATAGAGTAATATAATAAGCACTATCTAATTGAACCATATTTTGGGTGTAAATTTTATCATTGAAAAGAAATAAGCTTTAAATAATTAGCCCATAATTAAAAATATGCACCCAAACCTTATATATCTTTACTATATCATTTACACATGCATGCTTTAATTTTCTCAACTTGTTTTTCTTTGTTCTGAGAGTATAACCTGTGAGCTTGAACAATTAGAACATGTAACTTAAGCTGTAATAGTTTCTATTTAAATTCCTAGGTTTCTGGTTTCTCATAATTATTGTAGTTATTTCCTATCATAACCCTGTTTAGGATCCCTTCATAAGAAAGTTGTTTTCAAGTGATTAGGGAAGTCAAGTAGTTAGCATTACTTAGCTCAAACTTATAGGTTTTCCCAGAGCTCCAAGATTCGGCTACCAACTGCGCAGCCTGTGCATCAGATACTAAAGACAGCGAGCCTGGCGGGCTCTCAGGAACTATTTCCAGCCCATCCGAGTGAAACTTATCCTTACTTCAGCTGAAGCCAGTGATGTCACTTCCATCAGGTTCACTGCTCGGAAAGCAAACACGGCAGCTGCCAGGACTGGAAAAGAATGCACACTATTTCAACTGCTGGCGGCCTCAAGTGCTAGACACGGTTACGGCTCTATCTGCAGACCACGAGGAGCGCTCAGCCCTGGGCCTTCCCACAGCTGCAGCCCTGTGCTCTGAGGCACCGGCTCAATGCAGGGAGCATGTCCACTCCACAGAACAGTGCCCAACACTAGGCAACCTAGTCCCACTATGTGGGAAAAAGGAAAATCCAGTGGCATTATCAGGTCTATTTAAGAGCTGGGGATGGTGGCCCGCAAGTACAATCCCTATATGCTGAGAGGCTGAGGAAGGATTGTCAAATTGAAGTCCAGCAGGCACAATTTAGTGACTTAGCAAGACCCTGTCAAACTTTTAAAGAAGTTTTAAAAAGGGCTGAGGCTGTAGCTCAGTGTGTTGGGTTCAATCTGTAGCACTGACAAAACAACAACAAAAAAGTCAACTTAATTAATTTTTCTTTCATACCTACAACTAAAATTGTAATACTTTAAAAATGGCATGAAACTGTCTTATAAGTTAAGGTTCTTTTTTAAAGAAAATAAAAAAAAACAACATAAACAATACAGAATTTCAGAACAAGATGATAGGAAGTGAACAATGGTTATTACAGCACTTATTGTTATCTTCAAAGTAGTTGCTCAGATAGGCATGTAAGATTAGCCAAACAATAACTGTTCCTTTCAACAAACTAACAGAAATTAGTAGTACAATTACCTTAGCTATATTCCCCCTTCTTTCTTTCTTTTTTTTTTTTTTTTTTTTTTTTTGGCGGAATTGGGGATTGAACTCAGGCCCTTTCGCTTGTCAGACAAGCGCTTATTCTACTGAGCCATCTCCCCAGCCCCTCCCCCCTTCTCTCTTTCCCCCTTACCATCCCAGTTATTCTTTCCTTTTGAGCAGTTTCACTCCTTTTTATAATATACATATTAAGATTTAGGATCTTATTTACTCTTTCAGTTTCTTACGCTGGGGAGACAATTTGATGGTTACTTATGGGAGTCTAATTTATTTCACTTACGAGCATAGTCCCTAGGTGCATCCAGATGTTTTTTATTAGTGCAACAAGATCACAATTTTAAGTATATGAGAGTGTAATTCCACACGCACCAAAGAGGTATGATAATATAAACATAGTAATAAAACTTCTCTTCAAAATGTTTTATAATATTTTATCATATTTATATTTTTACATACTCAGCTCTGACTTCCTTAGTGTCACAAACGAATACATGTGTGGGGAAGCTTATGGTGGGATTGACCCTGGTATTTACTTTAATGGTGGCTATAAGAAAAAGAAGTTGAAAATTGAAAAAAACATCATAGGACAATTTCAAATTCAACAATATATACCAAGTAGAAAACATTGGGACTGTTGCCATTAATGTATGTGGAGGAAAAAGGCTATATTAACATGCAATATTTATTGATATATAGACTAACATAAAGCTCCATATGAGGGAATGGATTCCAGACAACAGGGGCCCATTGTAGAAGTCGGGAGCTTGACATGGAGAGGGTATAGTCCAAAGATAAATCTTGACTTCTTTGTTTTGTTTCTGTCGTCATTGGTGACCGTATATTCCCTACCTATGAAGCCACTGAAATTTAGGAAAATGATAGTCATAATTACTAAAACTACTTGGAAGATGAGTTCTTAGGTATATTACATTGCTAACTCAAGTATACTTTTTTTTTTTTGTATTTTAGGGAAGGGTCTACAGGGTGTTCCAGGTCTCACTACTAGATTGGACTCGTAGTGATTCTGTTTACAGCCTCGCAAGAGCTGGGATTACAGGCGTGTGCCACCATGCCCAGTCTCAATCGCTGTCTCAGCATGTCCCAGGGGTGGGGCTGGCATGGCAGGCCTGGAGATCGAACCCCTGGCCCTTGCATCTGCTTGTAGGCACTTTAATCTACTGAGCTATTTGGCTGGCCCAAGTATGCATTTCTTAAGATACATTTTTTTATTATGAGAATAATAACAGCAATTAATTCTGACATAAGCTGTAGAAGTTAAGTACTGTGACTGTCCATTTTCCTAACACAGATACTGAAGCAACAGTGAGCTGGGTGGCAGGTTCAGAGACACACATGTGGAAAACAGTGGTGTGGACATGTAACCTGGCTCTAATGCCTGTGAGGCTAACCACCAGGTGACCCACCACTGACCCACCACTAACCACCAGGTGACCCACCACTGAGTAAGCAGTAATGACTCAGTCCTGAAGGAAAAGCTTGGTGCTTTTGCTGGAGGGCTTGTTCTGCTGGCCTGGGATGGTTTTCCAGGGATGGCATGCAGGATGCCATGTGGCTCGGGTCCTGACAGGGAGTGGTGGTGCTTGGCAGTGGAGCCAGAAGGCAGGCTTGGCCTTTCCCCAGACAGGGTGTAATCAGCGACCGGAGGCTCAGCACCCTTTCTAGGAGATGGGAGACCTGGGACAGGCTGGCAAAGAGCATTAGAACCCATTAGGGAAGACACCCTGGAGAAGGAAAGATAGCAGTAATAAAAGTAAGCTTAAAAATCCAGACCAGCTGGGATTATTCATTAGGTAACAAAGAATATTAGGTTTTTGGAACAAATAATTTCTTTTTAACCAAAAAGAAGAAGAATTTTTTAAAGTTGTATGGCTCCATATTTACATCAAAGGAAAGAAAAACAAATCCATAGGTCAGAAAATTTGTAACAGATTCCCAATGTGTAAAATTGTGTGTGTGTGTGTGTGTGTGTGTGTGCGTGCACGCATGTGTGTGCACGTATATCTGTTACAGGTCCCACTATGCAGTCTGGACTAATAGTGATCCTCCTGTTTTTAGCCTCCCCAGGGGTGGGATAACAGGTGTGTGCCACCACGCCTAGTCTTGGTGGCCAGCTCAGCATGCCTGGTCTGGGCGGCTAGCACGGCATGTGGTGCTGGGGATTGAACCCCTGTCCTTGTGCTTGCCTAGGCAGGCTCTTAATCCTCTGAGCTATCTTGCCAGCCCATAAAAAAATATTTTAGACAGTGGAGATGTCTTAGAAGCTGAAGAATATGATCACTACTTTGTTTTTGGTGCATAACTGAACTATGCTGTTGAAAGCTTGACAAAATGTCCACATGTTCTGCTACAACAGGAAGAGTTTATGAGCAGGAAACTCTTTCCAAAGGTGGACTAAGTCCAGGGAGGGGGCAGGATGGGGAGAGGACTGTAGAGAAGAGTTCAGTAATTGACCTCAGCATCCAAAATGCTTATGTGCTCATACTCCTTATTTATCTTGGTGTCACATCACAGAAGTTCCTTTCTATCTGCTTCATGTTTACTTTGCCCAGCCCTTCTCAGAATAGGTTTGTTTGCCAAGGAAAAAAGATCTATACTTTAGGATGTTTTCAGCTGAAATCATGCTGCATATGAAATGTAGATGCTCAGTATTGGGGTTAGCTCAGTGGTAAAGTGCTTGCTTGGCATGTGGGAGGCTCTGGGTTAGATCTTCAGCAACATTAAGGAAGAAGAGGAGGAAGAAGAGGAAGAGGAAGAGGAAAAGGAAGAGGGGGAGGAAGAAGAGGAAGAAAAATGAGGAACTCCAATATTTATTTTCAGCATTTTAATCTACTTTCATTACTTTAATTCTAAGCAATCCTATCATGAACATTAACAAATCATGGTTTACACCATTTCTCAAAAGGCTTTTATTAACAAAACCAGTGAAATTTAAAAAATTTTTCTGAAGTCTACATAGTAATTCACTTGATCAAAAAAAGGTGGTCTCCTGGGCCTGTGAGATAGCTCAGTAAACTAAGCGCTTGCTTAGGCGAGTGCAGGGGCTAGGATTCAATCCCTGGCACCACCATGCCATGCTGGCCCTGCCTCCCAGGCATGCTGAGCCAGCAATGGAGTCCGGGCATGGTAGTGCATGCCTGTAATCCCAGCACCAGGGAGGCTGAAAACAGGAGGATCACTACAAGTCTGAGCTGCATAGTGAGACCCTGCGCATGCACAGGAGCACACATGCGCGTGCACACACACACACACATAACTTAAAAAAAGGTGGTCTCAAATATTCATATCTGAAATGCATAAAACAGTCAAACTAATTTTTGTACTTCTACATGAACATATTGATTCTTGAGGCTTTTTATGTGAAGTTCAGGGCAGGAAACACCCACTTGACTAGTTCCATTTATAGATATTCTAGAATTCTCAGTTGATTTTTAAAAAGCAGTTGGGGAAGGTAGATGGAGGCAGTAGTGTGGTAGCATTTTGTACCTATTCTTCAGCAGCTTATTTATATATTGAGTTCATAGCAGAGTGCCTGGTTTAGAGCAAATACCCTATTCTGTGTACATTTGCTTCTTTTTCCTTCAGCTTGCTAAGTGGTGATAAGGCACAGAATGAGAGAACTTAAGTTGGAAGAAACCTTCCAATATGTTTCACATTCAGTCTATCTTTCGAGTCATAAAAGAGTCATTTCTGACTCTTCAGGTGATGGTTAAACAGCTGATGCTATTTTTGGAAAGTCCTAATTATTAGAAAGTACTGCCTTATACTAGTCTCCCTTCTATAACATTCTCTACTATTTCCTTGAAAGGACACCAATGCTATTACAATACCTTCAAAATTTCTTGCATTCCTAGAAGAGTTATTGGTCGAAAATCTTGCTATTTGCTCATCCTGGAAAGTAGACTTTGAAGAGAAGTGGGGCAATCAGAGGGGATAAAACATGAAAATGACCTTGGTTTAAAAGGAGGACATGTTAACAAGCACTGCTACCTAGAAGTGAAGTGGGCCTCCGGATAAGACAGTGACTACCCTACCCTTAAGCATTTAAATAGAAAGCAGAGACCCATCAGAATGTGTGAAAAAGTAATTCCCGATGCTCTCTAGCAGACTATCCCTCTGCCCCTCCCCCCTCAATGTAAGTCCAACTAATTCTATGTATACGTACTTATACATAGGCCACACGGGGCAAACCATTTTTTACTAACTCATTATTTGTATAGATTTTTAAAAGTCTAAGATTGTTAAAAACATTAATCAGTGATAATCTCTGATTAAATCAAGGGTAATTTATTTTATTCTAATTTTCCCTTTCAAAATGCCACCAATTACTATATCTCTCTCTCTTAATTCAAGAAAATTTTAACATAATACATAGAGACTCTTTGCACCATGTTTTTCTTCAATGATGCATTATTCCACATGGGCCCAGAGAGGTGATTTCGAATTGCCACACACTTCAGGTTTGAGGTAGGCAGGACCACTCTGCCAACTTTCTGCTCTTCATCCATTGTTTTGACAATATCCTGATTATTATCTGAATTTCTTGATAATCCCAATGATAAAAATAATTGAATCTACTGCACACAAGGAAAGTAACATTATATAACTAATAAGAAACACTGCCTTCTGTCTTCCTATACAATTGCCTTGATATGTACCTGTTGTACAAACTATTTAATTATTAAATAGAGATGAGTCTCGGCCTTCCTGAGAAAAAGAAGAAATATTTTTGGCATAAGAGAATAGCTAAAAGGTAAAATTCAGCCATAAGGGTAGAGGTCAAATATTATTAGCTGAAAGGGAAAGGTTTTCATTTTAATATGAACTGACACTTAGAAGAGCCAAGATTTCAGGTATGCAGGCTATGAGGCTTGATCTCAGGTTAGATTTAGGTAGTGGCTGAGAAGGAGCACAGAGCAGCTAGCCAGAGGGGCTCCGAGTTGGACAGAGGTCCACCCATGCTCTGCCACCTGTGTGCTGGCACTAAAAGGGGGTGGCGGTGGAAAAGGGAGATGACACTTGCTTGGGAGCCAAGAAAAAAACAAAACAAAAAGCTAGAAATAGATTTGTTTTAGTTTAAATAGAATATCAGAAGTATAGAACCTCAGTGTGTGAACTTCTAAGGCGGATAATCTTGTTAAAGATCCATGTATTAGAAATGACTACTGAAGACTCAATTTCCACTTGCAGACAGTGAATATTAGAAAGAAATGGGCCTTACTATGCAAATACATGTTTGACAAATAAGCACTTACTCTTACCAGCAAGAATTTCCAGAGAGTTGTACCCTAGGATTCTATCCCACAAGAGCAAGAGTTGATCTGTAGCCAAATACCCAGAGAAAGCACGAACCATCCACTTAAATGATATGCGAAGTCTGTAGGCAAGGGAAAATGAAATTTAGTTTTACCACTACAAGAGAGGCACTATCATGGGACCTTAACCAATTCTACTGTTAAGGCAACTCTTTTGAGTCTTATAAATCACCTGGACATTCAAAACTTGAGTCCTTTCCTAAAATCTACTAAAGTAGTTTTGAGAAATTACCAGCCCTCAAATTATGGTCTTAAACTATTAAAGGAACTATTTTGTATGCTGGGCCCTTCTTCATGTTGAATTTGGTCTTCACAAATAAAATCACTTCTACATTATATTTTTCAGAGTGTACTAAATGAACTGATCTTCTACAAGTCTTAATAATTCCAGGAAAGCCATGAAACTTTGAACTTTTATTCAAAAGACTTGAAAGACTATTCAATGGTTTTGTATTTTTTTTCAAGTAGATAACTATACTGTACATCAGTTAAATGGCTACATAGGATGAAAAAAATAGGAGATTTAAAGGACCAATAAGTTTAAAGCCATAAAACCTTAGAAATAATTTTTATTTTAAATCCTTCACTTTAGTGAAGTTAAAAGAACTTTGAAAGATAAATAATTAAATTCCATTTTGTTACCTAAAAACAAGCAAAATAAGCCCACCATCAACAAAGCAGAGGGCCAGTGAGATATCTCAGTGGACTAAAGCGTCTTCTTAGGCAAATGAAGGGACCATGGTTAAATCCTGGCACCACATGCTAGGTCAGCCACTCCAGGGGTAAGGCTGAGCTGGCCACAAAAAACAAAAACAAACAGAACTCCAGGAGCTGGGCAGATAGCTCAGCACCTGACTGGCAAGCCCAAGGTCCTGAGTTTAATCTTCAGTACCAAAAACAAAACAAAAACAAACAAATCAAAAAACAAAAATAAAAACAGAACCCCAAAGAAATATGAAATCGCAATATTGATCAGTAGCTTATGCTATAGTTTTCTCTGATCTCAGGAAATGAACTCTTTGGCTCTAGAGCCTACAGAATCAAAACCTCATATTTCTCTACTACCTATGAGCATATAAAAATGACTTCAGTGCCCCTAAGAAGTGCTAGTCAATGATCCTGATATTATATTGATAAATATCTACATTATTCTCATAAAAAAGAAAAACAGACCTAGAGACGATCTTGGTTTGTGTATTACATTCATTCTCTTAAGACTAAAATATGAAAAAGATCCCCCAGTTTCAGGAATTTATCAGTATTGGATAACCACTGATCTACTATAGTATAGCAAAGTACATTTAGGCAGTAATATAGGCAAACTTTTTGGTTAGCCTTCAAATGTTTCTTTATAGATACAAAAAATCTCCCTCCATTTTGGCTGTTGGGTATTTTACTACTTAAATTATGCATTTGATAGCCAGGCATGGTGCTGTATCCCTGCAGTCCAGCACTTTGGGAGGCTGGGGCAGGAGGACCACACATTCAAGCCTAGCCAGCGTACCTTGTGACTATTTGTCTCAAAATTTTCAAAATCAGGTGCTGAGCTGCAAAGGTCCTGGGCTCAGTGCCCAATACTACAAAAATAAACTGACATCTAATTCTAAATTAGTATCATTTGTTTAAAGTCTCATAGTTTTATTAGAGTATGTCCTCCCCTACAGATAGCACAGTATCCATTAAAAAAAAAGTTACAGAGGTATAACATAGGTGTAATAGAAACTACTCTTATAGATGTCCACTTGTACAAATTTTGTATGACAAACAACCATATTAGAATTATATAAAATGACCAGGAAAAAAACACAGAAAACAAAGAAACAAATAAAAAGTTAAATTACTGAACAGATTCTTAGCAAAATGACTAAGAATCTATTAACTTGAGTACTTATCAGAAGAAAATGTATAATCTGAATCATAGAAACAAGAAGAAATTGTAGGAAAAATGGATTTGAAAAATGAATACAATGTCAAGGATCTGTAGGACAATTTCAAAAGTCTTAATATAATTGATATTAATTTAATCCCAGAAAAAAAGGACAATCACTATGGTGCAGAAAAAATATTAGAAGGAATAATGCCTGAAAACTTCCCAAATCTGACAATAGATACAAGCTCAATAAGCCCCAAACAGAGTAAGCTAAAATAAATCCATGCCTAGATCCATAATAATCAAAGTTTATCTTCAGCTAAAAAATAAAAATAAAACTTGATATAACCAGAAAAATAAAGATAAAACTTGATAGCAACCAGAAAAATACAAGAATTAAAATTATCTCCTCTCAAAATGTTTGGTAGTATTTGCTAGAGAAACCATCCAAACGTAGAGATTATTTGAAGGTAAATTTGACTTTTTAAATAATACACATTGTAATTGTATGATATCTATCAAAAATATTTTTTAAAGCATAAATAATAATCCAACCACGGAGATAAAATGAAATAAGAAATGCTCAATTTTTGAAAAGTAAACAGGAGAAAAGGAATAGTGAATATATGAAACAAAGAAAATTCTAGAAAGATGATTTCACTCTAAAGATATCAATTACATTAGGTATGAATGACACAAACACATTTCTTAGAAGATAGACTATCATACAGGAAGACTCAAATATACTTTTGATGAAAAAAATCCACTTGAAAAATAAAATCACTGATTTATGACATATCAAAAGTTAAAGAATAGGAAAAAATACCATACAAACTGTCATCAAACTACAGCTGGAATGGCTATATTAATCTCAGACATAGAATTATTATGAAGAATAAAGGAGATTACTTGATAATAGGCAATAAGCCTCTAAAAATAGAGATTCAAAATACAAAAAGCAAAAATGTATGTAACAATGAAGACAAAATCTGTACCTATAGCGGCTCTACTATCCCTCTCAATAATCAATAGAAAAAGCAGACAAAAATTAATAAGGAAGTTAAGTAGAGGTGTGAGCATTATCAATAAACCTGGTTTTGCTGTCATTTTGAGGACACGCTGCCAGCATTTGTGGGACACAAATACTTTTTTACTGCCTGTGAGATCCATGGAGCATTTGTCAAGATGGATTATATTCTGAATCAAAAACAAACCTCAACAACTTTAAAAAAAATCAATAACAGAAAAATATATTTACAATACTTAAAAATTAAGTAATGTACTTCATATAAACCACTGTCAAGGAAAAAGACATCTAAAAATTTTTTTTGAATGGAATTAAATTTTTTTTAAATAATCAGAATTTACTGGATGGTGGTAAAGTGGTATTTTATGAGAAATGTATAAATCAATGCTTATTTAGAAAAGGAGAAAAGTCCCAAATCAATGATCTAACTTCTATCTTAAACAAGTAGAAAAACCAGTAAAAATAAACCTGACACAAGCAGAAAGAAGAAAAGAACAAACATGAGACCAGAATTCAATGTAAATGGAACAGAAAAAAACAAGAAGGATCAAGAGAATCAAAAAGCAGTCCTTCAAAGATGGCTAAATTTCTAGCCAGAACAGTCAGAAAAAGAGAGGCAATATAAACACTAATCTCCATAATGAAGAGGTCAAGTCACTATTGATCCAATAGCTATTAAAAAGTAATTAAGAATAAGTAGAGAATATTAGGAATTTAACTTTGGTAAAATACATAATTACTGACATTCATTCAAGCAGAAATGAATAACTTGGGTAGTCCTATAGTTATTACAGTAATGAAGTTCAAAATTAAAAGTAACAGGATGTTTTCATTTATGAAAGTATTTTAAAAGTTGATTTCTACCCTCTAATTAGAATTTTTATAGTTTCTCTTACATAAGAATTTTAATGTATACCATAAGTCACAGAAATAAGTTTATTCTTTTTAACAATTAAAGAGTATAAATAGTAAGAAAAAAAACACCAGAATATTAGTTTCTAGGAGTAACGATGTGCATTGTTTAAAAAAAGCCTAATTATAGTTCAGTGTTCATTTCATAATAGTAAAAAAGAGGTCAACTTACAAGTTTAAGAAAAAGATGTGCTCAATATAAACTATTTCTGCTACATTCTTGTTCTATAATCTCAATCAAGAATAGAATCCTCTTTTTTAATGGCTACAAAGGAAAAAAAATCACCTCAAAATTATCTATGGGAGATATGCAATATTGCTTTACAGTTGGCATTTCCAATCTTTCTGAGCTCAATGGCACTTCATCAAAAGGAGGTATCATACAGACTTCTCTACACAGTTCTTTAACAGTAATCATTTTATTTTGAAATGACTCCATGTGGTAGTTAAAATCAATTAAAACCAATTCCTTTGATTGTAAGATAAGGAAATTACAGCATATATAAGTTAATCTTTGTTCTGGGATCGCAGAGCGTAAAGAAGATGAAATTTGAAGCTCGGCTGAACTCACACATATGCCCGCCCACCTGCACAGGCTGAGGCTGGCACTACACTGTTCTTTGTCCTATTAGCTCCTTTGTGGCTGCAAAGAATTAATTCTCTTATCAAATGCCTCCTTCATTGGGAAAGATGGTCACCCAGAAGATGGGAATGAAACATGGATAAATCCTTTAAGAGTCTTGTTGCTTTAGACATTGTTATTTAGAGAGAGACAGACCCCTAACATTGAAGTACAAAACCACTTTATATATTCACCTATAACACATACTGATATCAGTACACAAAATCCAAACTTTTGGAAGGAAAACTCTTAGTACCACCACCAGCAGGTCAACTGACTTGGTCTCTTACAAAGGACAGCAAACTTAACCTGTGGACTTGCCTAGGTGAGTCTCTGATAGATTTCGTCAGGTCTCAGCGTTACCACATTTTTCAGGGTGTTTTTGCTTTCCTAAATGTTCCCATCAGTTTTGGGCTAACAGTTTTCCTTAGCAACAGAAATTAGCTAATGTTAGTGATTCTTGCACTACACACAAACATCCTAGTGAATACAATTTTATTAGGATTTTTGTAATTCTTCCAAGAATATACAAGGTAGTCATAGTTTTACTCCTAGAAAACTGTTGTTTTATTGGGGAAATTGTTAGCTTAATTTCTCCGAAGAATTATTGTGTATTCCCAAGTGTTTTGGTGAAAAAAAATAGCTTCTGATGTAAAACTATTCAGTTGGGAATGGAAAAATACTCACGGTTGAGCCCCAATTTCTCGTAGATGATAAAAGAGTTGTGGAAGATAGGTTTGAAGAAGGGTTTCAAACAGCAAACAGAGTGACACAATACCCTGGATAGAACAACAAACCATAGGAGGAGACTGTTTAGTATTTAAAAATTGATTATAACAAATTATCTAAACAGAAAAGAATACTATAAATATTCTTTGTATTGTATAAAAGTCAAAACCAGGGGATGTACTAATAGATCTCTAATGCTGCATTTGAAGTTACATTTTATATCCTTTTATGTGTAATTATACTTAGGGACATAGTATAGTGCCTCCTTTTGCTGGCCTTGGTGACACAGGCCTGTGATCCCAGTACTTAGGAAGCTGAGGCAGGGTGACTGCTGTGAGTTGGAGGGTTGGAGGGCTCCACTGTGAAGCTCAAGGCCAACCTGAACTACTGAACTACATAGAAGGACCCTGTCTCAAAGATAAAAAGGGTCCTTCTTTTAAATACAGTAGTTTCCCCACATAACACTCTATTAACACAAGGTGAGTCAAAGCAAATGTGACTTTACAGAAAACCTGCTACTCTGTGAGCCACGTAACAAGGCCCAGCAAAAATCAGTGTTTTGAGTTTTTTTCTGACACATGACTATTTTCAGTTATTTCCTGGTGCAGAGCCTACCCTTCCCCGTCCCTGCAGGTATCCCTTCTCAGCACCCTCACTCTCTGGAGGAAATGCTCCTTTCCTCACTCACTCTGTCTCTAAAATTCACCTCTGAAAAGACTGATGCTGACTGCTTGAAATGCCTACCAGGAAGTTTTCAAACAAGAATATTTGATTAGTATGAAGTTTTTGTTTTTATTAAAATCTACATTTTCTTCAAAAGGGCATTATTTGTAAATTGCAAGAAGTAATTAAACTGATGGTTTTCAAGGTTATTATTTGACTGCTCTGAATAAAGTCTTTCTTCTAGCTCGGCATTCCTCTGGGTTGATCTTAGGAAGGAAGTATTAATCCTCTTTTTGAGTTTCTGCAGAAAGAAGGCTGTCTGGGTTCCAAATTGTTCAGTCTGCCTGCAAACCAGAAGAGATGACTGCCTGTATTATTCCGCTGAGTCGGGAAAGGACAGGGGCAGCGCTGTCCTGGTGCGGCGGCCTGGAGACCCGGGATGCCCAGGGCAGCGCAGGGTGCCCGCACACACCACGCTGCCGGTGTGGGGTGGGCAGCCAGGATTTGAAACTCTGAAGCATAAGATGGCATAGAATATGAGAGCAAAATTCTGATACTAACCAAGATATATGAATATTAACTACTATTAACATTTCTGAGTATTCTAGATTATACACTATCATAACTAAATCACGTTCCTCTAGAGAGAAGTTCAAGATAATCAGTGATGTCTAATTTGATTATATGTGACATCCTCGACTCCTGTCATTTGTCGTGTTGGCTGTCCACGCAGGAGAACAAGACTTGACACAAGGAAGGTAGATCCAAAAACACAGTCTTAAAGTAGGAAGATGAAAGAGAGTTCTATAATTTAGCAAAAGTCACATAGTCTACTCCGGAAAAATCTGGTAGCCCCACTACATATTCCCTTACTAACCTCGTTTTACAAATGAGGAGACCAGCAGGTATGCATTTTGCCAAGGATAAATACAGAGTTTCTATGTTTTCTATTGGACTAGATAAAATGTTAATTTAAATCTAGTCAATAAGAGATCTTTGCCTCTTTATTACTGAACATTTAAATACCATTTTTTCTCCTCTTTCATTTACCCTACAGAAATACATTATTGGACATTATAAATTAATATTTGTTGCTTTATAATTTAATGGTCTAGGAGACATTTCTTACAGCAAAAACCGATTAGTCTCATTTGATCCAACTTCTTATTGACTTACGGAAGGGTGAGAGGAGATGGAATGGAGTCGGAAGAAAAAACGCACATACATCTCGCGGAAGGTCTGATACAGCTTGTAGGGTTCATGGTACAGAAAGCAGAGCGGTGCCACTGAAAACAGAAGACACTCATGGGAACGCTGTGCAACTGCTGACACGTAAAAATAAGTCCATGAAAATGGACAAATAAGTATTTTATAGCAACCTTGCTGCTCATCAGCTTAAAATCACTCATACAATACATGCACATGTTAAAGTTCAGATAATCATTGAGCATTACAAAGAAAGGAAAGTAAATTATAAGTGAGTATAAACTCAATAGTACACTAAAACGATACAATGGAAATATATAGCGATACTAAAAATTCAAAGTAAAATTACATAAAGAGTCCTTTTAACAATTGCAGGGCTGGGGAGATGGCTCAGTGGAATAAGCACTTCCCTGGCAAGTGCAAGGGCCTGAGTTCAATCCCTGGTTCCGCAAAAAAAAAAAAAAAAAAAGAAAAAAAGAAAAATTGCAATAGAAGGTGACAATCAGGCAACTCATTTTTACTTTGTCTCATGAAGAATTCAAACCACTTTTCAAAACTTTTATTTTTCACAGCACTTTTTTCTTTGGTACCAGGGATTGAACTCAGAGCCCTGAGCATGCCAGGCAGGTGCTTATTCAAAAATTTTAGTTTTGATAGAAAATATATCAACCATTGTTAATCAGCTATTCTTGTTTCAAAAATCTATAACATTTGTGTTGTATGTCACCCTGTTTCATTCTTTGTTTCTGAATTTTTTTTCCATTTTATGTATTCGGTACAGGGTCTCTCTACACAGATTGGACTCCTAGTGATCCTCCTGTTTTCAGCCTCCCCAGAGCTGGGATTATAGGTGCGTGCTGCCATGCTGGGCCTGCACCACTACTAAGAGCGCCCCAGGGGCTCATCTCGATGACCTGGCGCTGACTCCTGACAGTTCCGTGCAGACAACCTGGTCACACTTCCTGTCTTTTCATGTCTCACAGATCAGGCAGCTTACATGCAGCTTATAGTGCATGTACACTAACTGCAGTGCCTAAACTTACCTTTAATAAAAACTTCTTGCTTATAAGTAATTTCAAACAATATAAACTGGACAATAAGTTCTGGGGTTCCATAAACTGCCAATAAATATCTGAGACCAGTAGGCATTAATTAAGTAAGCATGAAAGTCAGTAGGCCAACTGAGCTCTTTTCTTGTTAACAAAATGGTAAAATATTTTAAATGTGTACAATCACAAAATTCAGTCACGTGAGATAAAGGGCAGTGTGCAGTATTACTGAAATATGCTCTCTGATAACTGTAACTGCAAATAAGAAATTCTGATTTTTCTGAAGGATAAAAGACTAATTACTTTTAGGGGAGTTAATATCTAAATAAATATTAAAATAACTACTTGCATATATACTAATAGAAAAAATTACATATACCACTCATGCATTTTATATATAGATATAAAATTTTAAAATATATCTATTTCAAAGCTAGTTTTGAAAACTTACAAAATAAGTAGTTACTTATTAAAATAGTCCAAATGAGGGTGTCCTCTATATTTGTAAAGAATAATTCATTTTCTGCTAGGTTCAATGGCACAGGCCCATAATCCCAGAATAGGGGAAGCTGAGACAGGAGGGTCCTCTAGAGTTCAAGGCCAGCCTGAAACTACACAGTGAAACCCTGTCTCAAAAAAGTTCATGTTCTAATGGAATAACTTAAGGAAAAGCAGCACAAATACATGGTAGTAGTATAAATTTAAAATGAAAGTTTGAGAATTTACATTTTCAAAATGATGTATATATTAATCTCTAAAAAATTTACTGACATATAAGAACCTGTAATTTGAATGTAATTATTAATGGCCATTTCTGTTGCCGAAATGCTAAGAAATTTAAAATAAGACATTTCTACAAATGTATATAACACAAAATTATAACAACTATTGAAGATACCATAATTCTGTTGAATTCCAATATGTTACAAAATGGAAAAATTTTAGTTCATTATATATAATATGTAAAAAGGCTATATCGTTAATTTTTAAAGTATCTTTTATTTGGTTCTTCCACAGACATAAATTTGTGTTATTAACTTGTACTGTAGTAATTTATGAAATTATACACTTACATTCTGTATAAGTGGAACAGAAAGCGGTTCAAAGGAAGGTTTTGAATGAATTTTAGTCATTTTTTATTGAAACATGATTCTAATTTTATAAAATTTGAATGTATTTTAAAAAGAGATAAGTAGTATAATTTTAAAAGTACAGAAATTAAAAATTGAAGTGGCAAAGTTTTAACCAGAGTTCCATAGGGGTAAAATATAACTATTCTACTATATTGATTCTAACTAGTTCCTGCGAAAGTATTTGTGAATGCTTAAAATAGTTTTCTAAATAGATAAACTCTGTATCAAATACTTTGTACAATGTACTGTATTTCCTTAGCAAATGTCTTCCCTTTGGATATATAAATCTCAATCTGTTAAATGACCATGAATTTGAATTTGGATAGGCAGCGCCTGACTTGATGACAGATTTTGAACAAAGAATTGTTAGATTTAAAGACATCTTTTTTTAATGGTACTGGGGATCGAACTCAGAACCTTGTGAATACCAGGCAGGTGCTTATGCTGCTAAGCTGTCTCCCCGGCCCAAAGATTATTATTATTATTTTTTCATTCAGCACTAGTATGAAGATCAAAAGGCTTTCCGAGCTCTCAAGGTGACCCTTCATATTCTTTTTTTTTTTTTTTTTTTTTTTTTTTGCGGAACTGGGGATTGAACTCAGGCTGTTGCACTTGCCAGGCAAGCACTTATTTTACTGAACCATCTCCCTGGCCTCCATATTCAATTTTTTAATTGGGCATTTGAACAAATTCTAAACTCAATGCTTTAAAATATTTATGATAATGTGTTAAGTGTGGGGCAATGTGATATTCAGTTTTTCTTGGTTCAAATTTCATAAAGTATAATAAAAACAATACTTTAAAGCACAACTCACCATACATTGAAAATCCATGAAAAGGGATTACACCTAGAAGATTAAAAAAAGTTTCTTTTCAGTAAGTAGCATGCTTCTTCTTGTGAGGTAAATTATGGATGGCAATGGCTATTGTCTATTTTTCACTTCAACTTTGTTCATGAATATCAGAAAGACTTAGGGATCATAACTAATAGGTTTTTTTTGATAGGCTTTTATATACCTTTAGAAAAGCAAACTAGAAGTTCAAATGTATATCCAATTAAATTTATCATTAATAGTATAACACAATTGATAACTGAATGTGTATACATACATACACACATATCTGACAAGGCATATCACAGACTCAAATTTAAGAACTAATGATAAAAATATCACAGAAAGTCCATAGATAGTGTCCCATCTGAAACAAGTTCATTCTGTTTATTAGAATCCAATCTGCTAACAGATTAGTGAGCTTCTCAAGGCACTTCTTTGAAAAAAACCCTTTAGAGAAACACCGTGGATGTTTAATGAACCTACTAAAAATTACATAACGGATGTGGGCTAGAAGAAGTACTGGCAGAAATACGGCACAAAGTCAATACTGTAATCTCTGGCAAGAACTATATACAAGTAAAGTAAACATCCTTTTCCAAGCAATACCAAAGCTTAACTTACTGTGCTAAACATCTTGTCACATTCCAAGTGAAAATGCACAGCCTAGGTTCAAAACAGAATTTCTCCAATAAATACCGCTGTGTATCTAACAGGGCACTAAATCAGGCTGCAAACAATACAGGAGAGAGCTGAGAGGTCTCCTTGTGAAATACAGTACAGAAATGCTTTATTCATCCAGCGTGTTCAGAGGGAAAGCTGTGGGGCTGGCGGGTCATCATCTAGAGCAAGTTCTAAGAATGAGAGCTGACTTTCTGCTGAAAACACATCCCAAAGTAGAGGATGAATTAATTTCTAATGCAACAACACGATGCTGACAAGGTTTAACCTGAAGAGACTTACTCTTACTCTGAGTCAAATACTGGTTTCCTGCAATGCCTATTTCTTATTCCTAGGTGTGACCACACACATCACAAAGAAAAAGTCTAATTTAGGAACAACAATAAAAAACAATCAAACATTTGTTCTCTCCCAGGGCATTCACCATGAGAAGTTTTTGGTCAAGTCTTCAAGAGTTTCTTCAATTGTTCCACAGATAGAGTGGGCTTAAACTGCTTCCCTGTTTTATTTTGCCCTAAACAAGCTACAGCTCACCAGTCCTTAAAGTAGATGACTAAAATCTCAAAGTAGTTTTCCTCCTACATACTCTACAGCTAAGATAGGGCATTTAAGCAGTTGTTTCTGGACCGAAGTAGAGGATTATATTCTTATCTCTGTCACATTTCTTATTTGGTGAGCCATTCCAATTGGAGATAGTTCTGAGTTCTCATTCTGTTATTTAACGCGTTCCTTCTTCTTGGTTCCACATTACTGGAAAATTTGATATGCACACTATCAATGTTCTCATCTAGAGCAATATAAAAGTGCTGAACAAGACAGGGCAAGGATAGTAATTGTCACTAGAAACCTCCTTTCATGTTGCTATCAGCTCATTAATCACCCTAGTGCAATAAATGAAGAGCATGAGTGGGTGCCAGCCAGCCTTGCTTGGCTTCATCTGGTTTTGTCACTTAAAAGCTTTGTGTACCTTTGGGTAAGTTTCTTAATTTCCCTAAGCTTCAATTTCCTTATCTGTAAATCAGAGATAATGCTAGAAATGACATAGTAAAATTGAGATAATGGCTGTAGCTTAGTCACTTTGGTCTGTAATAAATGTTGCCTGTTCATATTAACTTTCACACTGTTGATTCTAGAATTAATTTTATAGAAAAATAGTATGCAGAAATGCAGTTATCATTCTGAATCAGCTTTAGAAACTGTGCAGATCACTTTTAAACTTTGCAGGCTACAACTCCCAGGACCTCCCTTTCCCATTTTTGCCCAGTCTGACAGCACACTGCACAAATTTAAATCATGCAACTCTGGCTGAACACTTTGGCACACCAATTTTTGGTTCATTTTTCTGATTATCCACCCTGTTCTTTCAAAATGTTCCTACTTTTCAAATGCTTAACACTTTACTCTGTACTTCCCTCATATTAGGAGGAGGATGACACTGACGCAAACTCACTATATATTTCATTTTTTTCTCTCACTCTTAATCCTCAAGAGGGAAATATCCTTTGCTTTTTTAGAGATAACATCTTCACCTATGGCATGAATCTTGGTTCCTTAATGTTCGTAGGTATTGGCAACTAAGCTGTGTCCTGTGAGGTAAGAACAGTTTTTATAGTTTTAAAGATTATTTGGAAAAACAACAAGTAATATGGAACAGATGCTGTTTGTGACTGAAAACTTAAAATATTTACCATCATGCTGGTTTAGAAAACAAGTTTGTAATCTCTCCTTTGGAATCCTCTTGAACCAATTACCCCATATACATCATTCAACAAATATGTACTGAATCTCTACTATGTGTTATTATGAGGACTGGGGCTGACTTTTTATTGTAGAAAGAAAAATCATGATAAAACAGGTGAGTGCATATCTGGTAAGGGGTGCTTTTTCAGAGGTGGCTGGATCTAGGGTGACTGACACTGGAACTGATTCATGGTGCCATGCTAGGACCAAGGGCATAGGATTATGGTGTGGGTGCCACCTGTCACGAGCAGCCTGAACAGAAGGAGCTGAGGTTGGACCTGTTGCTTTGCTACCTTCAGACCACCATGGTCTGTTTCTCTTCTGTGACGCCACCCTGTCTTGAAGCCAGCTGATCATTGCCTAAAACTTCTAAAAATTGTGAACTAAATAAAACTTTGCTTTTTAAACTTGTGAGTATTGGGAATTTTGTCTCAGCAGTGAGAAAAGTAACAAAGACACTCACATATCATCATCAAAAGTCCATTGTAATCTCTTTCTTACCTTCAAACTTTATTTTAAAAAATTATCTATTTACTATCTTTATTTCCTCGTAACCCTCAAACACTTGCAAACTGATTTTTATCCCTTTGGCCCTAACTTCTGGTCAATAAATCCAGGGGTCTCCTCTTGGCATGTGTTGTCATTAATGGCCTAATAGCAACTGAAATGTCCTTGTCAAACTCGACTCCACCATGACACTGACGAGCCTATGCAGATCAGCTTCCTTGTATCCCAGAAGCTTCTGCTGTTTGGTTTTGGTTTTGTCTTTGCTCTGTTTTGGCTAATTATTTCTCTGTCTGCCCCTAGATACAGCTATGTCTGAAGATTCTGTCACATTTGTTTCCCTTCTTCTCCCACCAGCATTCTCACCATTAATCTATAATCCAAGCTAACAAGCCCAGCATCCAAAGCCTTCTTCTGTCACTGTGTCTTTGAAGGACTCACTGCCTCCTTTGTCATTTAGCGAAGAAAACTTTGAAATATTTTTCTCTCTAGTTCTCCCTCAGTCCTGATGCCTAAGTATATTTTGTTCCTTTTCTGGTCCTTGTAGGACAGTAAGTACTTAACTCTTCAGTCTAATGTCAGCACCTTCATTCTTTTCTCTATAGCACAAATACAATGCTCTCCTCCCAAGTTGACTACCATCCTTTCAGACTCTGTGCACAGAACAGAGTCTCCCCATCTCCAGCCCTATTCCTGACCCACTCCTTTAAGAGTGTAAATCATGCCTCTTCTGGAAAGACCTCCCTCACAGTCCTCTAACCATCATCCCAGCAACTCATTAAGGAGTACTCTGCCATCAGCTCTTGCCCCGATGAAGGGACTCCTCTGCAGATCTAGAAGATGCTGCACAATTCTGGTCCTACCACTTTCTGTCGGTAGAGGTTTAGGGAGGTCAACTTGCTTCCTCATCTAAAACTGCTCTTAGACTAAGAACGATCAGCTAGGGCTGATGTCCCTGCTCTGGCCCTCCTCTGCTTGTACTCCTCTCTCCCACAGCCCATGTCCACTTGCAGATCACACCCCAGGACCCAGAACTCTGCAATTCACAGTCCAAAGACACTGAGGCCTGCTTCTGGGGCTTGCATGTTTTCTTTGGTGGGGCCACTGTCCTGACAATACAGAGGTAGCCAACAAGGCTATCTGTGGAAACACAAAGCCTGTGGAGATGAGAAGGGCTGGAGATGCTACAGACCAGGGACTTCTGAGAAGTTTCAGAATTCTGAATTTGAACCTGATCTTCCAGATTATAATGAAGGTATATTTATCAAGGTAAGAAAATACAGTAAACTGTTTACTAGTCTGATTTGTAACTTTTAAGTATTTAGACTTATGATAAGTAGATCTCATTTGTACTTCTGCTGTGGGACCCTGGAAGGGTTAAGGATAGACTTGTTTTCATCTAGTGACAACAGCAATGAGATGGTGATGATTAAATAAGATGATTTATGTACTATAGCAAAATACTTGATCCAAAGTCAGCATTAATACATGTTGTTTTCTTGCCCTTATCTCACTGTCCTTTAATCAGTTTTTTTTTTTTTTTTTTTTTTTTTTTCGAGGATTGAACTCAGGCCCTTGGGCTTGTCAGGG